CAATCATGATTTATCTCTATATGCTATTATTTTTTACCCTTTTTCTCACATTCATTCCAAAAAAGAAAAGCTATCCCGGGCAGTTAAGCAAATAGGATAGGCTTTCTCCTACATTCCAAAGGACCAGGGGAGTGACGGTTCTGCAGTATTCGCATCACAGGGTACTGGAATATGTGATGCAAGAGCGGAAAAATACCCTCCAACTAAATTATCCGCATCACAACAATAGTATAGCATGATTTCTCGAACTTTCCCGCAACCGGGCTGTTGATCAGATTTTCGTGATGCGATTATACTTGCCGATTTCAAGATCACGCGGTGTATATCGTTACAAATCGTATAAAAAGGAGGTAAGTTTTTAGTTGGACCTTTTATCTGCTATGCTTAAATTAAACGAAAAGGTCAAACGAAGCAAATCAAACTTACCTTTTCATCCATCATCAACCTATCAACCGGATGATCGAGTATTTCCTACAAAATAAAAACAAGGTATGTCACACTATTGCTCGATTTAATTTCGAAAAATGATACCGATGCTTCATACCATTTTTTCCAGTATTTAGATGAACTATTCTTGATCTTTGATATTCGCCGAGAAAATCGTGATCGTCAGCACGTGTCCCATCGGCGCCAAATTTTAATTCACATGTCACGAAATCTGGCGCAGTTCACTTTATATTGGCAAAAAACGATCATCTGGCACTTTTTACCCCTTATGGAAATATTAGATGTGGTTGACGCGTCAACTATAAAAAAGCAGGGTCTTAGTTTTTCTTCTCCCAATAAAGTTTTATCACTTGCTTGTTTGGCCTTTTTTCTTTCTTCAGCTTGAAGTAATCTAAGTTCTCTTAAATCTTCTCTTAAAATAATTTGATTTACGTCTTTTCTCACTACAAATCATGATATCCGACATCAGCGAGCCTGGTTTCAAATACTTCTTGAACACTCCCTGTCAAACTTGGGATGCTGTTCGATACCATGAATCGTGGGAGGATAACAACTTGGGCTTAGACAAGGCGACTCTAACGAGAAGTTTTCATAAACAATTAGAAATTATAAAATCACAAGGCACAGAAGAGGAAAAGGAAAATGCGATACGTCTCGAGAACCAATTCAAGGTCAATATATTTTCATAAGCTATAATAACTGTAGATTAGTGTGCCACATTCAGTAGCCACCCACTTTCGTCTCCGTATTTCGCCTCTCCAATACTACAGCTACCCATGGAACTGCGTCTTCACATGGTTATGGACTGCGTCTCCGCTGTTGGCTACAGCTAACCATGGAACTGCGTCTTCGCATGGTTATGGACTGCGTCTCCGCTGTAGCCAGCTTGTGACTTGCTAATTTATGACTTGCTAATGTGACTTGCTAATTTGCAGTTTTTGAATAACCCTTATTAATATGTAAATTTTATTTTCCTAAGGCTGAATCTACGAAAACGGGACTAATCGACAATTTCTGGATGAAACGTCGCAATTTTATGGAACACGAAAACATGAAAGTTAACAGTACGTTTTTATCTTGTAACGGAATACAGATCGGTTGTTTTGGTAATAATGTTCAGAAGCACAAACGATCTTATGAGAATCTCGAACCATCGGGTGTTGAAATACCAACAAAAGGGGTGAGTCCAGTTGTCTAATGTTAAGCCTTTTATTCGACTTGATAAGATGAAATCAGATGGGTGAGAATATTAATTCCTGATAAACTACATTTTAATCTTTAGGACAATGTTAATGTCCCAAAACGGAAAAAAAACATCGATGATTATTTCCCACGTAATGTCACACAAGAAACTGTCAACAATGATGATGAGCTGTCCGGCGTCACTTTAGTGAATATTCCTAAGATTCCAGATCAATATTACAAAGATGGTTATACTACACTATCACCACGTAGCCCAGCATTAAACAATTCACTGGCAGAACCTCCAATGCTCGTCGATAGTATCAACAATCCATTCTTGGAGAAAGATGAGGTAGATGATGACATCTTAATAATAGATGATATTGATGATCTATGCTTTATGGACGGAAACCCAGCTGATGGCTATAAGATAGAAGAGACCAATGTATCTCATTTGTTCCGGAAGTATCAGAATAATTCCATAAATATTGCAAAAACTGAAGGTTTATTTATTGAGTCGAATGTCCATGAAATACTTTCACTTTCATCGATTTTCCTGCTTATCCCCGATTCACACTCAAGAAAAATGATCGATATATTTGGTTCTCCGCTATTAGATGAGATTCACCAACAAATTATCCCAACACAGCAAACTGCATTGGATTCAGAGTGCGAAGCAAAGTTTAGGGATGCAATAAAGCGAGTAACAAAAGAATCGTTTAGTCATGCTACGGATTGGTTGATGACAGAACTTTCCAACAATAAACCTTTGAAGGATAATATGGGCTTTGTAATCCTGGACTGTATAAGATCATTACCTTTTACGAAGATCAAAAATGATCCTAGTGAAATGACATTGGTAACAAATTATTTAGATCGCATAATGAGGGGGATGTTGCATGATCCCAACAGGCACATTGTTGAATGGCCGCGGAGGGGTGGGTGGGAGGATAAATAAGTTCAACTTTTACACACTTTTATGAAATTCAAGCTAAACTTTTGTTCTAATAAAACTTATTTATTTTTTATTTAATTATTATAACAAAA